AAGTACAAACGGACTTCCTTATAAAACAGAAGTAGGGCCACAGATGTAGAGAACAAATGAATGGCTACCAAGGGGGGAAGGAGGTGAGATAAANCATTTGCAGTGACATAGATGGACCTAGTCACACTGAGTAAAGTAAGACAGAGAAAGACAAATAACATGAAATCGCTTGTATGTGGAATCTAAAAAAAAAGTACAAATGGACTTCCTTATAAAACAGAAGTAGGGCCACAGATGTAGAGAACAAATGAATGGCTACCAAGGGGGGAAGGAGGTGAGATAAACTGAGAGATGGGACTTGACATGTACACACCAATATATAGAAAACAACCTGCTACGTAGCACAAGGAACTCTACTCAGTATTCTGTAATGGCCCGTGTGGGAAAAGGATCTAAAAAAGAGTGGACGTGTGTAGCTGATCCAGGAAGGAGACTGGAACAGTGACGGCCGAGCTCTTGGGCCTTCCTCCCGGAAGGTGCATACCCCCGCCCTCCGGCTTGGGCGGTGGAGGTGGCCAGTGTCCCCATCGTGACAAAAGCTGTGTTGCCACGCTTCAGTTCCGATGCCACGGGCATCACCTTCAGTCCTCGAGGGAGGCAGTGAGGGTGTGGCCTCTGGCTGCCATCCCGGGGCCGTTGTATTTCAGGGCTGAGAGCGCGCTGTTTTCCCTGTGCCTGCACTTCTCTGATCCGTGAACTTATCCCTGATGGTGGGTCCTACAGTGCTTTGTTATTTGGGGTTTGGTGAATGGTCTCTGGCGACATCCGTTGCTCCCTCTGTTGGTTAGGATGCATCACTGCCGCTCATTAGGAGCAGTGTGACTTCGTTTCTCTGACTCTGTTCCTTCAAGTAGGTTGCTCCTTCCCTGAAATGCCCTCCACTCAAGTCCCGGTGAGCATCAGGGGTCCCTTCAGGAGTGAGCCTGACCGTCGCTCCGGCTGAGCCGTGTTCTGCGCGTGCCCTTCCTTTCTGGCGGGTGTGTGTCTGAGTCCCCACGCCGCGTGAGGAAAACGCCTGGTGTGTCTCTCTCTAGCCTTACGTTAGACACTGTTGTGATGAGAACGCTTGCTTACCCATTATTCCCACCATGTAACAGCGCGGAGTGAAGTGAATGTGTGAGTTGTCTCAGCACCCTACTGAGGTGACTCTTGGACACCGTGTCCTGTTAGAGGGGAGGAATCTCCCTACATTATAATATTATATTATATTGAAACTTTAAACTGGAATGTCCCCTCCTCTCCAGGAACTTCCCTGCTCCACTCAACAAGTTCTCCCAAAGTTCTTGGAATCATAAGACTTTGAGGAAGTGACATAACATTATGAGAAGGACTCCTCCTAACCATTTTTTTTTTTTGTCTTCCTTGACATTTACATCCTTTGTCTGATCAGGAATTTGTAACTCAAATGAACTGTTCATGATAATGAGCCATTCCTAATACAGTCCTGATTGAACACCTCTCTCCAAGAAGGTCAAGGTGCTTTACATACATTATCACAGTTGGTTTCAGAACATCCCTGGAGTAGGGTGACCAGCCGTTCAGAATCACCTTGGTCTGACAATCCAGATCTCCATGAGGAGATCTCTCCTTCTCGTCTCTGGATCCAGGAGTTCAAGTTCAAAAAAACCAAATTCAAGGCCAAAGTGGCCACAGCTGTTTTATTGCTCCCACTGGAACATTCCTGAGCCTTCTGGATAGTCTTAGATCAGAATCAGAGTCAGTTCTCAGCAACAGCAGGAAAACCCAGAGTCAAGTCTTTGCACAATGCCCTTGGTGAAGTTCTGTTGATAAAGTGTGGTGGGAAGGCAGAGGAGGACTACTTTCCCCCAAGGGGCTATTGCTGGCACCTCCAAGTGAGCATCTCTCTGGTACCTGCCCAACCAAACACCGTGTTGGGCATTTGTGGGGGCAGCCATGCAGTTTGTGGGAATCAGCCCTGGTTGAAGAGTAGGGAACTCTGATTTCTGATCCCAACTGTGTCATTAACCAGCGGTGTGTCCTTAGTGGAGTCCCTTGTTCCCTTCAGACGTTGAGAGTATTGGACGAGATGACTCCCAGGGCCCTTTGCAGCTTTAGTCAAATGATTCTGTCCTTGCAGCTCCTAGATTTCCTCATCCAGACCTCTGTGCACGTCGCTGATGGATCTGAGGACTCAACAGCACTCTCTCTGTAATACTTTTCTGATCCTCATCACCAGCTTTCTCCTTTACTTATGTGCATGTCAGTCAACCATGTTCATGTCATGCCAACCGTGTTGGGTTGACAGTGTCTTGAAGGCAAGAGTCCTATTCATTGAATTTTTGCGTCCTGTATGTTAATGGTGGTACTCTTATTTCTCCTGTACCTTTAACCTGTGAAATTCATCTTGAGTCTTTTCAGCTCATTGACCTGTACATGTGTTTACTATCTGGAAAGACTCCACCCTCATCATCCACCAAGCCTCCTGTCTTCCTCCCTGCCACCTCTTAGAACAAATCTCGAAGTAATTATCTGCATCTGTCATATCAACCATTACCTTTCCTGTTAACTCCCACTACCTGCAGGTTGGCATTCTGGCCCCCAGTACCCCCACAGAAGCTGTTTTGATAAATGTTTTTTTTTTAATCTGTATTGCCAGATGCAGAAGGACCATGGGGCACTTTCATCGTAGCATCTAACAGCACTTGCTCTGACCACCAGCTTGTTCTTGAAACTCCCTGCGTGACGCCTGTGGCGCCCGCGGTTCTGTTCCTGCTTCTCTGGGTCGGCCCTTGCTCTGTCTCTCTGACGACTCCTCTTCCTGGCTGTTGCCCGTGGTTCTGCCCTTGGCTGTTGTCTCCCTTCACTGAGTTCCTTCTCTGGACTGTTTCAGCCACACCTGTGGCATCAGCCCACTCCCAGAGCCGTCCTGGCGGCCCGAGACCCGCGTTTGCAGCTTCACACCAAACGCAGGGCGTCCTGACCTGTGCCCCTCAGCCTCTGCCCGCCCGCTCCCCAGACTGCTTTCTCGAGTTTTCCCTGTTTAGGCCGTTACTTGTAGGGCACCACATTATATGCAGGGCACAGAAGTGAAGTGGACGGGCCGGGGCCCCGCTGTACGTTCAGTTGCCCAGGCCTGGGGTTCTGCCACCACCAGCCAGTTGCCTCTGAGGTTCAGACCTTCACCAGCTCCCGGGGGCTCTTGGCAGTCCCTCGCCTCCTGAGTCTCCTCCCTCCAACACTGCAGCCAAAAGTGACTTTTCGAGAAAGCGAATGGGAACTCATGGCTTTGCTGCTTAAACATTCTATACCTGATCGCTGACTTTTAGGTGAAATTGGAACTCCTTCATCTGCGAGATCGTCAACAGCCTGGACACCAGCTGCCCTGGCACCCCCGACACACGCACTCGCGCTGTGTGCTGCCTCCAGGCGGGCTGGGCGCCTCCTCACCACCACCGCGTCTTTGTGTGGGACAGTCCGCTGGTTTCAGACTGCAAGTCCGCCAGCCTTTAGGACTCAAAGCAGACGGGCCCTTTGCCACGACACCCCCACTGCCTTCACCAGGCAGAGTGAAGTGCCTGCTCCCCTGGACTCCCACTTTCAGCCCCTTTTCTGAAAAGACAAGTCTGCTTACTGACCCCTAAGCATTCTACTCTCATGCTGGTCTCTTCTCTACAAATTGAATGTATTAATGAGTGGAGTGGGAATACAAGTAGACCCCACACCTCAAGGCCTGTGTTCTGTGCATAAGAGCATCTTGCCTTGGAGCGTAAACGAAGCAGCTCTGAATTATTTAGCCTCTTGTCCCCAGTACTGCTCTCTCGTCCTCTTCCTCTAGTGTCTGGAAGACCCTGGCAGGCATTAGGTGCACGTGGTCTCGACCGCCCGATAATCACTTCCCATCATTTCGGTGCCAGAGCCAAGTAACATTCCCCTTTCATTTAAATTAGATAAAACCCAGAGCTGTGGCTGGCAAGTGAGGGAAGTCCACTGGGGAAATTAAAGGTTCAGAGAGAATGGGACCCATTATAATAAAAGCATTTGCACAGCCACTGATTCCATCTACCCCGTGGCGTTGACAGTCCTTGGGGTAGGATGAAATATGAAGCGAGAGAACCCGTGAAAGTCATTTGAGGAATTTATTTTAATTGGAAATGGTGGCAGCTTTCTGTGCTTGGAGTCAACTCTGCAGATCACGCACAGGAGTGTGATTGGCATCATTTAAAGAGCACGGAGCATCTTGTTCCTCCAAGATGCAGGATCTTGGTACCACGTTGTCCCAGGTGCTTTCTCCACCTACGTGAGCACTGAATGTGATTGTCATCCCCTCCCTCATTCCTTCCTCCCTCCCTCTCGCCTCGGTCCATTCATTCACTGCCTCTGCATTCCTGTCTCATACTTCATGTTTGATAAAAATGAGATTATGACACCTAAATCAATCAATGGGTCAACCTGCAAATTACTGAGAACTCTAAAACCCAAGAAACAGCCATGCAGCAGATGTAGAATGACCAGGAGAAAAATGGACCATCTGTAATCACTTGTAATAATACAAAATAATGATAGCTGTTTTTTCCTGTGCCTCATTTGTTAAGCACATCACATGCATCTTCTCTGGTAATTCTCTCCGGCCCTACTATATAGATGTCACCTCCATCTTACAGATGAGGAGACTAAAGCTCAGAGAAGACGCCTGCCCAAGGTCACGCCACTGTAATGAACGGCAGAGCCAGAATCCCCTGTCAGATCTAGGCAGAAACCACACTGAATGGTAGAACCAGGTTATGAATTTGAGCCTGACTGCAAAGCTCACGTGTTAAGATACCATGTCACAGAGCCTTGGGACTTAAAAGCATCCTGTTGCTGAACATCAAATACATGCTTGCATTTAATATATAATAGTTCCTGTTAACTGAGAGAGATCTCGTTATGATTTAAATGCCATTATAACAGTATCCGTCGTCTTGTTGAACAGCATGGGGTTTCTGAGACTGTTGAACTGTTATTCAATCTGCCTTACCTTCTCACTTTTCTGTTTTTAGATGCATCATCCCATTCAGATGAAACCTGCAGATAGTGAAAAATCAAACGGTAGGTGGTGACCAATTGTCTCCTATTATTGTCTGTTTTCTTAAGCACAGAAGTGAGGTTGGTGGGGGGAGAGGGTGCAGGGAGGAGCTAGCTGTTTCTCTGGGGAAGGCGGAGAGATGTGTTCCAGGAGCTTCCATCGGGGTGGGCACCTCTGGAGAAACGTGAGCTTCAGTCCCATCCCTCCTGTATCTGGTGTAAAGACCTGTGAAGATGCTACAAGAAGTGGTTTTCCGTGTCCCTCTGTTTGGGATGTGATTGGTATGGTGACCCTGTGGCCTTTGGCTCTTGTCTACCTTCTCTGACAGCGGCACAGGCGCCCGAGGGGGAGGGATGACCTTACACCAGGCAGAGAAGCCAGGTGAGGAGGGCCTTACCCACCAGGACTTACGCTGACTTTTTTTTCTCCCTTTCCTTTGGTCCTCTGGCTTTGAGAGTGTCTCATTGCACTTTTCTCTAGGTTGTACCCATGCATTTGCATCTATATTCATTCAGAATTCAGTCTGCTGGTTAATAAACACACACTTAAGTGCAAAAAAAAAAAAATGTATGCATTTGGTGAGGTCCATGGAATAATTGACTTGCCTCTCCATGACACCAGAGGGTTGACGGGCACATTTCTCTCTAGAGTTTCTGCTTCCACTTGTGCAGACCGTCTCTCCCGGTTTTGTTCTTGGGATTGACTGAACGTATGTTAGAGGAATCTCCTGCCTTCCTGGAGCCCAGCACCCCCATCCCACAAGACTGACACAATCAGCGTGGTTTCCGGCCTCCAGGCAGCTCTGCACCTCATTAATTAGTCATGGGGCAGAAGCCACACACTCGGAGATCTGCATATCCGCATGTGTAAATTATGATGAGGCTCTGCCTCTCCAAGAGGTGTGTTTTTGCTGATTGTAGCGCATCCCACTTTCTGGCTCCATCGACTGGAAAGTTTTGAAGAAGTTCCCTGCCGTATGGGGTTGCTGCTGGCACTGGTTCGCCTGGCGGGAAGTAAACATTGGTGCTTCACCACCATCCTGACCAGCCGCACCCTTCTCTGCGGATCTGATTCCCTTTTCCCTACAGTTCTTTATTGCAGTCGTGGCGTTGGGTGTCAAAGCGTCTAAAACCCACCACTGCTTTCTTGTGGGATCTTAGTCCAGTCGCTTCATCCTTTGTTTAACAATTCATCATCAGTTACTCTGTGCTGGGCAGGTTGCCTGGGGCTGGGGCTGCAGCTGTGAATTTTTACAGAAACGGATGCAAAAGACACTGTCCATTCCCTCCTGGAACTCAATGTTCGTTGTCACTAGTTTCAGTATCTTAACAGTCATGGAGAGACTGGACTTTAATCTCATTCATAGAATAGGAATAAAGGTAACTGCCTCTCAGAGCTGAGCTTTTTTCCTAGATATTTGGGATAGTGCTGTAAGTGACTGAGCACTTGTATAAAAGGTTGCCTGGTGTCTCCCCCCGATTCTTCCCTGGCCCTTAGGCTCTGAGCCAAGTGCGTCTGCCCAGGCAGAAGGCGGGCTCCCCAAGCCCACGTGCTCCAGGTGGGCATGTCTGCAGTCCCTTCTCTTCCTTCTGGGAGAGGGGAGGGATGGAGCTTGTATTTGTGGGGTGAACTCCGTCAGCGAAGGTCATGCTGGTATGTCCAGCCACCAGGAGATGCTCCCTGTCCTTTGGCTCCATAATCATCCAGACTGTCAGGACACCGGTCACGGGATCAAAGTCTGCAGAAGAGGCTTCATTTGAGCCTTAGGCCGTTGTGATAAACATGACAAAAGAGAGAACCAAGTTGGAAATGTGTGACTCAAAATACCTGAAGAGTTGAACCGAGAGAAGGTGTCTTCTGCGTTTTCTGCTGGGCAGGCGCAAACCCTGACTGTCTGTGGGGTGGCTGCCGGGGAGGTTCAGAACAGCCCGCCGCCCTCTGACTCCTCTGGACACTGAGGGTGGTGTCTGCTTGGGGTCTGGAACCACAGCAACAGGATACAACTTTTGGGGGCACACCCTGTTTTGCAGAGTCTCAAAAGCCAAGCAGGACTGGGTACTGTTTTATCAAGAGGAGCAAATACCCAGAAATGCCATGTCTCAAGAAGCACCCTCTTTCGGGGAGCCCGGAGTGACCCCTGTCCCTGCACTTGTTGGCTGTGACCTTGGGCAAGTTCCTCTCACCTCACCCAGCCTCCGAGTCTCCAGCTGTAAGAGGGGCTGTGGTCTTCTAGTCTGTGCTGCGCCCGTAAGGCCCACCTCACACTGGCATCCCGCAGTTGTCACCTGCAGAACTTAGCGTCACACCTGGTGCGAGGCGAGCATCCACTCTGCTCCGCTGACGACTTATCTCCAGCCCTCAGGGGCATCTTCTCTGGTGCCTCCTGAGAGCAGAGACCAGCCCTTCCAGCCTTAGGCTCTTCCTGCCAAAGCTTGGGTCTGAACACACAAAGGAAAACCCCCAAACCTTTCTGGGCCGTTGATCCCTTGGCTTGCAGACTGAACTTCATTTTCTGAATTTTCAGTTAAGAAACAAAAAGTCAAATAGTATAAAGGGACCGAAGGTGGCTTTTAAAGTGCTCTTTTTCGTAGAGACTTGGGTGGACCCCCAAGTGGACCAAGCGGGTGGACCCCCGCCTTGCATAGTCATGAGCAGACTTCAGGGTTCTCCTTGGACCTGAGTGAAAGAAGGAGAAAGGTTTTATGTCCCAAAGCCAGGGCTACAAGCTGCAGGCCTTTTCTGATGTCACATGGCATTTTTGACAGGTAAGCGTAGTTTCTGCAGGGCTTCCCTGGTAGCTCAGCTGGTAGAGAATCCGCCTGCAATGCTGGAGACCCCAGTTCAGTTCCTGGGTTAGGAAGATCCCCTGGAGAAGGGAATGGCTACCCATTCCAATACACTTGCCTGGAGATCCCAGGCAAGAATACTGGAGTGGGTTCACCTTTCATTGTCCAGGGATCCTCCTGACCCAGGGATCGAACCCAGGTCTCCTGCATTGCAGGCAGCTTCTTTACCACTGAGCCACCAGGGAAGCCCCCGCCGGAAATGTGAGTCTGCTCTTGTGTGTTCCCTGCACTTGTGTTTTCTGGAACAAACCTGCGAGATCTCCACCCTTCCTGGAACCTGTGCTTCCAGTGGCTCTGGCGTGAGCTGCAGCCTCCAGGACATTTATACAGACTCCCAGCATTTTCATCGATACTTCACGTTGTTGCACTTCTACTGCGCCAGGCATCCAAAAAAAAGATCCTACTCTGGACCAGTAATAAAACATCAGGGATTTTGAGAACACACTGGACATATGCCCGGGTCTCAACAGCATCCACCTTTTGTGGTGGATTTTCCCTTGCACCTAGTTGAGTGGACGGTACTGGAAGAGCATTTGAGGAGGCGTGGATTATTGCAGGGACCAGCCACACTCACACACACACACTCTTTTTCTCTCCCATCAGAGAGCCTGTTTGCAGCTTTTAATCCTCCATCACTATGCAGAAAGAGCAACCAACTGTGCAGGCTTGAAAGTTACAGGCAGTTGCTGGGTCTGAAGTCAGTCCAGCAGTGGGTAATGAGGAAGTCGTGGTGGTTGCCTTTGGTTCTGGGCTTGGGGTGCCAAGGGCTGGAGCTGTGTGCCCTTGTGAGGTCACGCTCCTAGCTTCAAGTATTCTTTTTTTACTCTGTGGACAGAATGTCAGGTTCATTCTGCTTTAACTTCCATACTCACGGCCTATCAAGGATCCCGAGAGTCTCGCATCCAGAAATGCCACTTAAGCCCACATCTCTTTCCTCAAGGCCTCTGAAACCCCCAGTGACTGGGCATCCAGTTCCAGGCTCACGAGAGCCAGCATGAGGGGACGCTGTCGTCTGGGGAGGGTGAGGCCTGTAGAGATGGGGATCTGGGTGTCCCCCTGCAGTCACTTGCTAATCACTTGAAAAGGAAGAAATCATTTTGAAATTCAAAGTAGACTCTGGGATTCAGAGGCCATAATTAAATGCCATATGTTAGCACCAACACATTGGAAAGTTGTTAATGAATTCAGGCCGCCCCGAATACAGGTGTGACTTTCACAGGTTGTACACCAGGGTGTTAGCATATACTTACAATTGGGGGTGGGGGGCGCATTAAAAATAAAGTTTCTAGTCCCTGAACTTAAAAAAGTCCCCATGTACCTGTAATATTTACCCTTCTCATTTATACTGTGGAGGGGGGAGCTGGCAGTGGTCGCTGCTGTGAATCCACTTTCAGCTCGGCTGCTGACATTCGTGGCCACCCTATCTGTGTAGCCCCTGGTATGTGAAGCATTTACTCTCATTCATTCATTGGTTATCCTAAAGGAACATGGACTTTTCTTCCAGAGGGCGAAGGCCTTATCTTTTAATTTTTTTTTTTTTTTTCAGTTTCCCTAAAGCACTTATCAGAACATTATGGATGTGGTAGGTTTATTTAAGCACCTGGCATTCTTGTGGATGGAAAAAAATTAGTGAGCTACATAACTGCTTGGGAATACTTAGGCAAGGCCCACCAGAAAATGCATCCAACATTGATGAAAAAGTTAAGTGAATTCAGGATGATTATGTTTATTTAACGTGTTAACGGAGCTGTTCGGCAATCCCTAGAATGGAAATCTGAGGAATAAATTTCAGGAATAAATTTTCACTGGGAGATCCAGGAGAACTCAAGGAGAGGAAAGCTCAGTATTTGTACTTATTCCCATTTTGCCACTAAAGTAAACAAGGTGCAACTGTTAAAACCACAGAGCAGCTTTGGCTCAAGAGATTGCTACCATTCAGATTCCTATATACATGCACACACGTGGCAACACATACACGGGTCCACACACATGTGTCCACTCACACTTGCGCACACACATGCATGATCACACACTCACACATACGTTACACACACATCCACATGTGTGCACATACATCCATGCACGGGGAAGGAAGTTAGCACTTTCGGTAGCATGTGAATGGTGTAGATTTTCTTTTAAGCTAATACTTGTTACTGAAAAAAGTGACAATTATGTTTCCTCCCTCTGCTTGTCAGAGTTTTACCCTTCCATTGAGCCTAGGAAGTCAGGATTTCTTAAGTGGTTTCCTTTTTTTTTTTTAATATTCTTATAGAAATCATTTTTGAACTTCCTCGGGAGCTGCACGTTTAGGTGACTCTATCATTCTCCCACCCCAACAGAGCTCAAACCCTGAAAACTATTTTGGTTAAATACCATAATTATAGGTCTGCCAGGGAAACCAAGGACCAACTGGGACTTATCCTTTGCTTTTGTTTGAAAGAACCAAAACTGGATTCTTCTGGATAAGAAGAAATAAAATAGAAATTAGTTTCTTACTCATCGAGATACCAGCCATAGCTCCCTGAGGGTGGGAGTCCCAGAGGTGAGGGTGCGAAGGGGTCGGGACGGTTTCCCGCCTTCCCTAAGTTCCCCTCCCTCCTTGGCCCCATTTCCGTCAGTCCCGTCTGTTCCCCTTCCGGTTCAGGGGAATGCCTCACGCTGACGGGGCCCTGGGGTCCTCACACTGGAGCTCAGAGGCTCCCATTGGCAAGAAGCCATCTCCTCTCTGGTATCTGATGCTTCTAGAAATGCTTGGATCCTTGGGCCAACCCAGCCTTTGACTTACTGTGCTTCACCAGCTCCTACTAGATGACTGGGGGTCCACTTACTCTGACAGGAGGAAAAAGGATTTCTTAAATGAAAAAATCTTCATCTGCACAAAGCAACTGGGGTTCTCCACGACCTCTGCCTGGGAATCAGAGCCCGAGATGCCCGTTGCTTCCTCGACAGGGCTCAACAGGGTCAGGGGCCCTGGACCACCGATGACCTTCCTTCCGTACTGAGCCCCTTCTCTGCCAGCAAAACAGAAAATCATACATCCGGTGCTCCAGTAAGGCGGCCTGCCTCTGGGCTCCCCAAGGACCACCCTTGTTCTTCCCTGACTCTGCGCCTTGTCCGGTTAATATGTGGTGTCCCCAGCCTACTACCAGTCCTTCCAGACCCTGCCAACGCTTCCTAAAGTCCAGTGTCAATTCCACATCTAACATCAAGCCTTTCTCAAACCCTGAAGCACATTTCATAGTTCACAGGAATTATGGACTTGTGGTTTTTTCAGCCTGAATTCCTTGGAACCCTCTTTTCTCTGCATTGTCTTGGGAGCTGCAACCAGTGTGAAGAAAGGGGCTAGCAGAAGGGGATTCTGAAGTTCATGAGCCTCCAAACCCAAATGCTTCAGTCAGCAAACCATATAACCAGGCTACCTTCTCTCCATCACTTGAGAGAGAGTAAAGGAAAGAAAAGAAGAGAAAGAACCAAGTTGAAACCTTCATTCTGTGGACGATAAGACTAAGTTCCAGAGAGGTCTGCTTAGCCCCCAAGGTCACCCATCACCTTCCAGGCAGTGCTGGAGTGAGGACCAGGGTCCCCAAGTTACAGCCCTGGCCTCCTCTCCTGGCCTTGTCTGACTCCTCCAGACTCGCCAGAAACACAGTGGAGAGAGCAGAACCCCGGGCTAGGGAAGGTACGGGATCCTGGTCCAGGTCAGGCTACCTCCTTGTGGAAGGACCCCTGGCCAGACCCTTCCCCCTGCTGGGCCTCGCACGTCTCTTTAGTGTCACCCAACATGGTCTTTCGAGGCTGTTACTTCTAGCCTGGGATTCCAGGGCTGCGAGCTCCTAGCCCGTCAGTGCCACCCTGTCCAATGTAGCGGTCACATGTGGCTTTTAAATTAGTGAAAATCGTGTCACAGGAAGAATTCACCTTCTCGCACATACTGGCCAGCTTTCAGAGTGCTTAGTGGCCACAGGCGGCCTTAGCTACCGGGGTGGACGTCACAGACCAGACTTCCCCCTTCCTGCCGCGCTCTCCGGGGTGGCGTGGCTTCAGAGGAAACCAGTCTCTCTCCATTGCATCAACAAATCATCCGTTCCAGCTCCTGGAAGACACAGACCATGGAGTCTGACTTCGGTACCTGAAGCAATTGGCCCTGGCAAGTCTCAAATACACTCTTGCCAGTTAGAGGATAATGAGATACTTACTGTCCAGGGAAAGAGTAAGAGAAACAGGAATGAAAGCCAATTAAATAGCAATGACGAGATTATAATACAGATATAAAAGGATCCCTTAAGCTAGGACTTTCTGAAGTGCTGCTCTAGCTGGCTATCTTTTATTATTATTTTTATTATTATTATTCTAAGAAATGAAGTGAAACATGGGAAATAAGCAAGCCTTCTCCCTGAGGGCTTCTAGGACGATCTTTTGCACTCTCCTACAGAAGGCTGTGTTGAAGTCCATAATAGTCCTGCCTTTGAGACTGAGCATACGCTGTTATCCTGAGCTCAAGCACATTGGTTTAGGCGGAAAATTTCCCAGGTCATCAGGAATAAACCTTCCCTAATCTCTACCCACTGTCAACTTCCAAGGTTAGAATTTGCGCATTGTTGCCCTAACACCCAAATGCATTTCCGTTCATCGTGAATCCTACTTCCCGGTCTTCCCTGGTTAAGTTAGTGGTTAAAACTCTGCACTTCACTTCTAGGGCATGGGTTCAATCCCTGGCTGGGGAACTAAGGTCTCCCATAAGATCCCACATGCTGTGTGCAGGAACCCCCCCCCCCAAAAAAAAAATCGTATCTCCAAATGGACAGAAGAGTATTGTTCCTTCCTTGTACTTCTTTTGTTGTTGATGGATTTCACTCTGAGATGGACCCCCCCACACACACACATGAGATTCTCAAACAACTGCAGCCACATTCTCCTGGCTGCAGCTGCCTTCATCTTTAATCATAAGGTGCAGACCACGTGTGCTGCCCTGGGTGGGGCTGTGTAGCCAGTGCTACCAACAGATCCAGCTCCCTGGAGAAATTCTCATCGCTTCTCTCCTGTTCTCGTCTGGACCCCTGAGGACAAAGCTGTTTGAAATCAGGGAAGGAGAATGTTTTCTTCAGTCAGCGCTTTGTTAAAAGCTTTGTTGATCACTTTTTCACTCGGTTTCTGTTGTTTTTCCTCTGCTGACCATTCTCTTTCCCTGTCACTCAAGTTAAAAGAGCATCTATGCCCCCACCCCCAACCACAAAACAACATTTGTATCCCTAAATGCCTCTATACAAGGGTATCACTTAGCAGTTACCCAGAACTTTACCATTTAAGTGAACATACTACTGTTTGCTTAAAAATGGAGGGAAAGGACTTAAAAACAGTGTTCCATGTCCCTTGGAGAGGTTCTGTTAGTGTACAAACTCCTGGCGTCGGAATAGGAGCTGAGACGCTGAGGAAGGGCTGGGTGGGAGGACAGAGGTGGCCTGGGCATCTGAAGAGTTAGCCTCGGGGCGGTCGGAGGTGGTGATGAAGCGTTGCCTGCAAGGAGTAAGATGAAATGGCCTCAGCTCATTCATTATTTCTATCTCCTAGCCGTGGAAGACAGAAAATTGTTCATAGGAATGGTTTCGAAGAAATGTAACGAGAATGACATCCGGGTGATGTTTTCTCCGTTTGGCCAGATAGAAGAATGCCGGATCCTCCGGGGGCCCGACGGGCTGAGCCGAGGTGAGTGTGCTGTCTGCAGCGTCTCTGCCCTTCCGCGCTAATTGGAGCCCCGCGTCCCAGCCAAGGTAGACGCAGCCCCGCGCGTGGCCGGAGGTCGCCCCGAGACACGCCCCACAGGACGAACTTAGCCAGCCTGAACTTTTCACCGTGGCGGGAGTGATCACCTCTTATTTCTCGAGTCGAGAAGGTCCTGGTGCCAGCATATTAGCTCAGGTTATGACTGTCAGACAGGAGGCCTACAGGCTGCCCTGTCATCACACATCGCTTTTCAGTCTCAGATTAGAGGAGATTGGGGATGGGTGGGGAAGAGACTTGGTGGGCAAGAGAGAATGTGTGCCGCTTGCATCTTAGTTTTCTGACTTTCTGCCTGTTCCTGGAAGAGGTGTTGAGGGTGTGGGCCTCTTAACAGAGAAATAAACCAAGGAAAAAAAAATGCCCTGCATAGCATAGAGCAGATACAGACTCAGAGCAACCCAGCCTGTGTTAGGGTTTTAGAGCAAAGAGCAAACCTCCTGGAGTCCTAAACATAGGGAGTCCATTAAGCAACAGAGAAATGATTTCATCCAGCAGATTGCAGGTTCTTCTTTGTCACCAGGATAGAGGCAAAGGCTGGGCTTTCCAGCACTGATGAAAACCAGCATTTTTGCCACAGCGATGCAAGGTGGTTGGAGATGACTGTTCTGTTTCCACACTTACCTCCCCCTTTGACAAGGCCATACACCTCCTTCCTTAAACCACTCATAAGGCTTATCACCGGGTCCCCAGTAATCTGACTAAGTTCCCTGAGTCAGCTCAGTGAGGCCCAGGGGAAGCTGTACGTGTAAAACACGTTTGTCCATTCTCACAAGAAAGCTGTTTTGGCAACACAGAGAGGATTTCATTCAATTAATGAAGTTTCCAAGGCAAGTTCCACAGGGATAATTAGAAATGTCTCTCAGTTCCCCATCTCTGGTTCTAGGACTACACTGCCTGCCCCTGTGCTGAACCCCATGTCGAAAGAAAAGTTTGGGCCTTAAGCATCAAGGCACTAGTGTTCACTCATCTCCCTAGTCTTACCTAAACTCTGCACCCTGGGAGGAAGAACATGTGTTCCTTTGACTTTTAGACATAAAACTTCCCGATGTCAGTTGCTGAATGGCACAGGGAACAAAAGCTTTCCACCTGCCTCCACCCCCAGAGCCCAAAACAAAGAGAGTGTCAAGGAAAACCAGGTGAGGAGGAGGAATAACTCCAAGCTTGTGATCCCTACATTTCCTTCTGAAGGTGGCTTTAAAAGCAAGAGAGAGAGAGGAGGCGGCGGCCTGGAAGTGATGCTTAACACTCCCTGAAAAGATGGGCGTGTAAAAGCTGAGCAAGACATCATGTCAAGTGGGGTCCCTGTGTAGCAGACCCAATGCCTTGAGCTAGTCTGGCACTTAGCACATGTGCCTCCACCAGCGTCACCCCAGCTGACTCCTTGTGCTGGGGACCCGGACAGCCTCGCAAGCAGAAGGCTGCCAGGGTTTGCGTCCTGGATCCCTCTGCAGCACCCCAGCAGCCCCACGCCAGGAGAGAGGGCCATCACATCGGATCACCCAGTCCTGCTGCAGCCAGGAGAGGCAGATAGGCACACAGTCCAGGAGAGTGAATGCCTGGGGCAAGTACGGCATGGCTGAATTAGATAGGCGAGAAAGACGAGAGTATTTTCGTGAACCTTTTCTGCTGCCAGTTCAGTCCTAAGAACCACCATTCTCCCCCATTACAATTCTCAGTCACGTTTCCGTGTTGCCTTTGCATTTGTCATTTGCTCAGGCGTACAGCATGGACAAGGAACAGACAGTCATAGTGAACTGTATAGTGCCTTGGAGGCCGATGACCCTGGGGCCCAGACCTAGAACTTCTCCAGAGTAACTCATGGGGCGCTGTCCACTCCTTTTCCTGTCTCTGTCCTCAGTTTCCCCCATGAAGATGGCAGCAGTCAAAATATGTGCCCTTCTCCTCTAATAGGGCGTGGTTAGCTTCTGCGTTTTTATCATCTTTATTTTTTTTTGGCGGCACTGCAGCTTGCAGGATCTTAGTTCCCCGATCAGGAATCAAACCCGGTCCCTTGGCAGTGAAAGCGCAGGGTCCTAACTACTGGATGACCAGGGAATGCTTCTACGTTTTTACAGAAGCAGACCATTCACAGGGTGTCATGGAGGCCTTGACTATGAAGTAGGCATGCTGGACTTCTGTTCTCCCTCCACTGATTTACAAACTTGAGTCTCTGACTCAGTTTCTCCACCTCTCCAGTGGGGGCAGTGATGGGAACAGCACTGGTGTCTGGAGATCCTCAAGCATATGTTAGATACTTCTGCAGTTGAGATTTTAAAGCAGCCAAAACTTTCATAGAAAAGAGCTTCAAGACACTGTACTTGATGAGAAAAATTGGCCAGTTCAACCTGCCATTCGGTCGATGAACCAGCACTTGACACCAGAAGCAGCCTATTTCTGAAACAAGTTACACTTTCTTCAGTATTTTATGCAAACGCTGGTTTAATGTAAAGAGTAGAATCCTCTTCCTTGCCTCCCCCCCTTTTTTCCAACAGAAAAGTAATTTCTGAATTTCTAGCAAACTGATGAGAATCCCCTATGGCAAAAAGAAAATACTCATTTATAGTCATTTGTTCTGAAATATAAAGACAGACCATGGTGCATTTTTCAATTAGCCGTATCCAGGGACTCCTGGGTACTGGGGACTGCTCCTGAATCAGTGTATTTGTTGAAAGAACAATTCTCTTTCATGCTACTATTTTGCTTTCATTAAAGAATTGCAGTCTTCAATCAAATATTAATAAGTATCTCCCATCAGTGGCACTCCCAAGCAGGAACACTCAGCATTTCTGGTCTCCATGCCTGTTGCTGGCTCAGCTGTTTACAGAATAAATAAAAATGAAGTGAAATGAGAGATTGGCTGCTCTGAAAAGCACCTTTTAATACTAGACCAGGGTATAAACTAGTCAGTAGGAAAGGATTTAAATCAAACCACATGATTATGATAGGGGAGAGATGCCCTTGAGTTGTGCACACTTCCAGCTGGTAGCCCTGGGTCTCTAACAGGCATCTAATGTCTTTCCTTCTCTGCCATGTCAGTAGTTGACATTCCTACCTGGCAGGTTTACACTGCAGTTCCTCTAAGCTTGTTGATTCAGTACCCCTGTCCTAAATGAGAGTAGCTGCCAGAACTCACACTTATCAAGTCCTACTATACTTTCAGTTAGAATCACTATTTTTAAAAAAAAATCATGATCTCCATATAGGCAAGAAAGACTGTTTTAGAAGCCCCGTAGTTATTCACCAGCACCCAGATCTGTGCTGTGTTTTAAGACAGGACCGCCCATCCTGCCCTCACCCCCAGGGAAACTGTCATGTCTATACATAGCACCTGCCAGGCCTGTTGAAACGACTCAACAGACATCAAGACTCTGCCCACTTTACTCCATATGCCCACACCTAAACATGCATCTTCTCCTTTGGGGGCAGTAACCCATTCTGCCATTTTGGAAAACCTGGTTTGAAATGCTTTTCAGCCCCTCGTGAGATTCAGATCTTTCTGCAATGGCAGACCTGCCTCTCAGGCCCCCACGTGAGCCTTCACTGAGAGGCAGGCCGGATTCCATGAGCCCACCCGATGCAGGTAAAACAAGACGTCTGCCCTTAGAAGCAAAGCCTCAGACTCCTACACCAGCACATCTACTGGACAATGAGACCTGAGCATGTCCGTTTCCTAAAATACACACGTTCTCGCCCACAATCCCACGGTCAGATTGAATGACTTGGGTACGGTCTGCCAGGTTTGCTACAGCATGGCAACATAAGATCTGTAACTCAGAGACAATGAAGGGGTTGATTTCGTTCTTCTTTCCCATGAACTGCAGTCAGATCTTCACTGCCATTTAAGGTAACTTTCTGCTTGTTTAAGAATATTCCAGCTGTGTTTATGATGTTCCAACATGCTCCTGCCAAAACCCTTGACAAAGGAATTGGCCATATTTTCAGGGATGTTGGTGAGCACAATCTGGATGCAGCCATTATATCCTCATTTGTTTTCATTGTATCTGATCTGAAATATGGGGGTGGGCTCTTGACTTTTAAAACATGTGCAGGGAGAGGACTGAGTTTTGATCGTGACATTTTAGTCATGTCCACGTGGTGCCCAAACGCTCAGATAAATGGGAACCTGTGCCAGAGGCCTCCTGGGTTACTAGCTGCATCTTGTCATCCTCCCCAGGTGGCTCAGTGGTAAAGAATCCACCTGCCAATGCAGGAGACACAAGAGATGCGGGTTCGATCCCTGGGTCAGGAAGATCTGCTGGAGTAGGAAATGGCAACCCACTCCAGTATTCTTGCCTAGAGAATTCCATGGACAGAGGAGCCTGGCAGGTCCAGTCCACAGGGTCGCAGAGTCAGACTTGACTGAGTGACATCCTGCTCTGGGTACTCTTCCAGTCTCATCTCAGGAGTGAGATTTTGCCAACTCTGAAGTCCTAGCCTTCCCTCGACCTCGGGAGCCGTGAATGAACAATCTCTCCATGCCAGTTTTAAATAAACGAACCTGACCTTGGGGGTTGTGCATCATCATATTAATTCTGATGCTCCAGAGTTTTACTCATGGAATAGTTTAAATCCTGCTTATAAGATACAGAGAAGAAAACTGGCTGCACTAAGATCTTCCTACAGCTGAAGAGGAATTTATAAACAGGTTTTCCATAAGCTGACATCTTCTCGTGCCACACAAGTTATCTTAAATTATGCTTCCTTCAGTTGAAATAAAGTGGCTATTGCTGCTCTTTCAAAGAAGCAGCAGAAAACAAGAGGCCTTGGCATCATTGTATGTGCTTTTAAAAGTGCCAGTGCCCCTGCTTTTTTCCTTCCTTTCTTCTCTCTCGCTGTCTTTTTGGTGCACAGCAAGAATTCATCTAGTTCTCTCAAAATTCCCTTGCACCCTAGAGAAAAGGTAGAACACCTGAGTTAAGATATCCTTTCAATCGAAATGACAAGTGTAATAGATGGGTACCAAAATCTGCTCGGTGACAGGGCTCTGTGCTTTCCTTAGATCCTGTCTGTAGGAGGAAATTACTCTGAGAAACCTTTCCCCAGTCAATCATTTATCTATTCCAACGGCAGGAAGACAACCTCACCGTAATAAGAGAAATTCAACTCCTTTCATTTCTATTAGCAATCTCTGACACTCTGAAAGTGGAGATGATAAATAGTGGCAAGCTAAATTACAGGTTGGTTACATTTACAGATGGAATTTTTGCCTTTTTTTTTTTTTTTTTTTGCTATTATGTATTTGGAAGCTTTAAGATATATAGACTGTCTTACCCGCCCTACTACTACCACCAAAAGTAGCCTCATTATCTTGGTAGCTGTATTTTTTCCCCCAAATCTAAGTTCTCCTGCATTTTGCCAGCATGTATGACAGCCTAGAACAGTTGAGGGCTGACCCTATAAGATCAGAGCACTTGTCCTGCTGAGACCCAGTGGACTGCAGTGTACCCAGAAGCTCACTTGTAGAAAGTAAAGGGGAACAGTGGACCTAAGACATTTCTGTCCAGTGGAAAGTCATCTGATTGGCTTGTGGAAGAAGGCACCAGCCCATTTTGACCATAGGGACTCGAGTGACCCTATGTTAGTGAAAAGCCACAGATTTGAGGGCTCACTCCAAAGCCAGTGTTTTCAGTGGTGCTGAAAATGAAATGAACCTAGTCGTAGGACTCCCCATGCCCTCCTGTTTTAGAGACGTCGCAAAGGTTAACAAGCTACCAGCCCATGGAACATCTGGTTCTGAAGTTGCTTGACTTTATCCAGAGCGGCAGACAGACACGTGCTCCCCCTTTCTAAATGACACAGTCGTTTTTCTCCCTTAAGTAACTGAACACAGCACAGAGCATGGAACTTGACAGAGCCCCTAGGAGACAGGTTTTCTCTCACTGCACTGCTGCCGACAGAATTAAAAGGTTAAAGAAGTCATCAGATTTGTCAGATCATTTTTTGGGAGGGGATGAGGACTGTATAATTAGAAGCATCAGTCAAGCTTTTAATTGCAGGTTTCATAGAGCAAAGGGCAATGAGTGGTTTGAGTTTATAGAGAGATCACTTCATTGTTCTCTTGCTAGACTTTTCTTTTGAGACCTGTTAATTGCTAGATCTTTCTCCTGAAGTTAACAAAAGTTCTGCTTGCTCTGAAATTGTAGCAAATGCATATACTGTGCCTGATTGATTTTTGTTGACATTTTACATGTTTTTTTATGCATCCTGAATCTCTGCTTGGACACTCAGTTTGGCACATGCCCCCAAATAATAAGAGCAAAGTGAATGAAACAGAGTTAGCCCATGGTTTCAGATCTGCGTCCATTAGATGATTTCCTGTGCCTCTCCTGCAGTCTCCAGATAAGAAATAAGAAAGAAAAATCTCCCGGTCTTACTTCCCCTGTTAACAGTGTCAGTGATAATCACAGTCTTCAAGAGATATTACTTTGAAGCGGATGGTAAATTTGGGACTCTCTCATCTTGGAGCAGAGTACATTTCAGTACGGAGTCAGCAGAGGTCCTGTTGTAGGTCTGTCACGGCGTCACACACATCATCTCATCTCGATGCCTTAGAGGAGGCCGCCCAGCTGCTCTGCTGATGACAGAAACCACAGCCGGTATAGATACAGGCACCATGCTCAAGCAGCTTCACCAGCTGCTGTAACGTCGGAAAAACTAAGAAATAGCTTGGCATTCTCAGTGAGCTAGACTGCAGGCTTCATTAGGACAGCTTAACATAGAGGTGAATGAGATGAACCTCCCATGTACTGAGAGTTTTTGCATATTAAGACTTACAGCATGATGCAAAAAAAAAAAAAAATGCATTGACTTTTTTTCATGACTGGATGTTGTTGTGCTTTGGGGGTGTGGGCAGGCATTGCTTTCTCTTATTGCTGTTTGATGAAAAAGTGCTAATACAGTATTGACTTGATAATCTCCCCAGGTACACACGCAGAGCAAACAGAGAAAATGTACTCGATGGCCCCCACGGTGACTCCCATGCACCGAGCCATGCGCTGGTTGTTTAGATGTGGAGTTTTCTGCTTGGCTTCCTGGCCATAGAGGCACCAGTCTCACGTGATGGGTGCCAGAATTCCACTTCTGTGCACTCAACTCTGAGATGACAAGCTTTGGCCCCTCAGTGTTCAGATCTGCTTCATTTGGAAATCTTTTTAAGTAGCAATAATAATAATGTTTTGAGGCAATTGAGTGGAACACTAAATTATTCTCTGATACCTAAGTTCAAACTGTGCAAGGCTAAAGAAGCTGAAAATCAATGCACTTTTAAAGTCATTAGAGATCATAAGTGAAATAGTCTGCATTGCTTTAGCTAAGCTTTTAGTGTGCCTTGGTATTATTATAAAATCAGCCTGAATCTGCATTAATTTCACAGTCTTCTTCTCTGAGAAGCCCAAGGGTGCATGATAAATAAAATGTAAATTTTAGAAGGCAGTGTTTTTATTAGTGGAAAGGGCAGTGAGCCATGTAGTTGGAGCGGTGACCTGCATGGTAGCTGACACTGCTACACGGAGTCCTATGGATGCTAGTTATTTTACAGCTGGGAAAAAAGTAGCCGTGGAGGGTTCAATGGGCCTCAGGGGAGACATTCAGAGAAATGTGCATTGTCTTGTGTATGTTCCACTTGAGGTCCAGTCTCTGATAGAAACCACAAGTCACAACTTTCAGAAGTCATGGAGATTTGCTGCAAATAACAAATCCAATGCAACTGTTTACATTTTACTTTATATGCACTGTTGAATATTCCCAGAGTAATGGCGCATTTGTTAATAGGGGGTTTGTTTTTGTTCATCATTAACAGTTACTAAGTAGTTTGTACAGGATTTGAGTATATTTATTTGCATTTACGTAACATGAATGTGTATACATATATCTAATTTTTAAACCACCCAGAAAAGATGAGGTATATTTATTTGCTGACATTTCAAGCTATTGAAATCTCTTTGCTAATTTGCCCTGGGTGTGAGGATTTTATTATTGGCTGCCTAAAAAGCAAGGCTCCCATTTGAAATATAGAACCAGAATGGGTGGATGCCCTCAGTCATGATAGTCAGCCAAGGAGAAAATGTAAAATTGCAACTCTTTATTTTAGAAAATGCAAACTAGGTCTTGTGCATTTCAAACCTGTGGCTAAAAAAAAAACTTTAAAATTAAAAAAAAAAAAAAAAAGAGTACCCAGCCTCCTTTCCCTGGACTCCAGTCTAAAAATAAATAAACTAATCCATCAGTAAATCTCTCTGCTTTGGTCAGATTAGCAAGTCAGCACTGTAAGTAAAAAAGCAACATGAGATTGAAACCAGAGAGAGAAGTTGTTGATTTCATGTACTACTGAGAACAGTGTCGTCCTGTGGCAGTTCTCGTAGACTGTGTTGGTTTAACAAGCGTCCAAACCTTTTGTCTTGTTGTTTTTGTCTTTCCTGCTCCCTGTCCCCTTGTTTCCCACAGGCTGTGCGTTTGTCACGTTTTCTACAAGGGCAATGGCACAGAATGCAATCAAAGCCATGCATCAGTCTCAGACCATGGAGGTACTGTATCATCTGCCCTTTCTTTGTTCCTTCGTGCAAGTGGTGGGGATGCAAAGCGATTCTCTCCTGTGTGGATCGTTCACATGGCAATCACAGATGTAAACCTTCACCATCCTTCTCTCCATCCATCCATACTCCTCCTCCCTTAACCTCTCTCCCCCCGCCCCACTTTCTTCTCCCTCCCGCGCCCTCTCCTCTCTGAATATTCCCCCTAATGACTGGAAACGCACCTAGTAAAACCTTCCCCTTGCTCTGCATTCTTTTCTGAGCCTTTTGTTGCAGTGGCCCAGGTCCTGCCGTGTAAAGTTCATGATGCCATTTAACCCGGGCATCTTTGTGCACCTCAAGGACCAAGTACGTGCCCCAGCCCCCAGGGTGGGATGGGTTGAACGGCTAACACAGCCCCCATTCCAAATTGCAGTGGGCCCCGTGCTCAGGCACAGGGCTCTTTCATTTCTTTTTTGTCTTCTTTTTAAATGTGAGGTCAAGTGACCTTTAATCAAGACAAACAGAATTGGTTTTGCATCAACAGTGTCGGAGAAAGTTAAGACTTCTCCTACAAGGTGGAACCAGCGCAAATGTTCATGTATGAGAGCCTCCCCCCTGCCGAAAATTAGATTTGCCCCCTTACTAAAAAAAAAAAAAAACAAAAAAAAAACACAATAACCAAGAAACTCGAAGGCTCCAATGTGGTCTCCTAACGAGAGACACAGTGGCTTTGGGGGAAGAGAAATACGCTGGCATGGGCCCAGAAATGTAGACAACGGCTCTGTCCTTTGAGTCTGTGATTTGGGTCATGGCCTTTCAGGATTTTGCACAAAAGCATTCCAAGAGTGATATGCGGTTCCTTACTCTGTATTGTCTGATAGAATCCTTTGGGAGTGCATGTTCTGCTGTATCATGTAAACTGTATCTTTGTGTATGGGTGATCTTTCCTGGAGGTGGCTTTGTACTATTACCTCAAGTTATGTTTTTCATCTTTTGAAAGAAAAAACGATTTTTTTTTTCAGTTTTATTTAATGTGCCAAAATTTCTCTATTGTTTGAGCTGCTTTTTTGCCTCCACTTTTGCGGGGGGTTTTAATTTTTTTGTTGTTTGGTTTTTCTGTTTGGTTTTTTTTTTTGGCCATGCTGCATCTCCCGAAGCATGCCGGGAGCTCAGTGATCTTTCTGGGTCTTGCTCTGCGGGCAGACTTTCTAGGGAGCCGCAGGGTGGGTGGACGTGTGGGGACGAGAGTGTGCATGGCCTTGTCAGTCAATGTTTACTGTACTTTTCTGAGTTTTGACAGCATTGCAAAGCCTGTTGTCTTTTTCAGACTTCCTTTTGACCTCAGTATTCCTAACATACCTTATATAATCACTGTGTTTTCCTTTCAGTGCAATGCATTTTTAAGGCACTCACACCCCCCCACCACGTGAAGGCAAGCTCAGGTGAAAGTCGGCCACAATAAGAGAGAATTAGCGGGATTTGAAATATCTTAGGAATCCAGTCTCGAACAACATGCAGTTACACATGTGATCATGTGTGTGTTCCCCTCCCACCCTCGTCCCCCGCCCTTTCTCTTAATGTTGGACGGCTCCACTGTGGTGGATCGACCTGGTTTCCAGCTGCAGATCAGCCTGGAAATGAAAGTGAAAGGACTATTAAGAAAAAGAAAGTCTTGATATACATGTGTGTTTCACTCTTAAATATTTTTATTTCCGGTGATGGAGTGATCTGTACCTGATGGCCTCACCTTAGATTATTTTTTTCACCCCAGCTATTTCAGCCCTGTTGGAAACATTGGCACCCCAGTACCCTCACCCAGGGCCCCCCACCTGAATGGGAGGGTTGTGTTCTCTACGTCCCTACAAACTGAGAGCACGAGAAAATACAACAGAGCTGGGTATGAGCCCAAACCAAGAAAATAACAGGCTCTCAGAAGGAAAAGAATTTGCTATAGAGAATGGGGCGTATTTCTTCTTCAGAGGTCATTGATCCTTTGTTAATAGCGCTCTTATCAGAAATCAGATCTGACGCACTTGTTTTTAAATATGGACATCCATGCTTAATCAGAGGGGCCCTTAGACACTTAAATTTCTTGTTTAATTCAAAAATATTGACATTTAAATGGAAGATTATTATGCAGTCTCATTAGTTGTATAACTGAAGTTTGTTTTCTTTTCTTTTTTAATTAATCACATTATTTTTAGGACTCTGGCTTACATCTTCAACCAAGATGTATGATCTAAGAGATACGAATTCAAAATGATGTGACTGTTAAAGTTTAAATGAACACATTCTTTAAAGAAGTCATTAATTTTATATGGTACCTTAATTTTTCCCACCTTCCTCCAATCTCTGCCTACCCTGTTTTTTCCCTTTCATAGTTTATACAAGTCATTTTTTGAGCTATAATCATGGGCCTGATTTTCTGCTTTTGTATCATTTTCTGGTATTTAAGGAAGGAAAAAAGTCAACCATAAGTGAACTGTTAGGAGGAGATGCTATAATTTGTTCCAGAATGAATTTGATAGAATAACAATCCTTGCCATGCAAAACCCTTGCTGTCTGTAATTTCCATCTTCAGAGTGGTTTTGCTCTCTTTAAAATGATGAAGCACTAAAATACAGAGCAGACAAAAATGAAGTATAGATTTTTTTTTTTAAATGGTGGAAATGTTACTTTTATGCAGTTTATTGACTGTTAACATCCTAGGTTGTGACTGTGACCCCCAGAGCTGAAGATCAATCCACTGGAGGTCCAACAGCCAGTCACCCCACTTTTCCCACATTTTGGAGGTTAACAAATAGGCATGATTGCCTCATCTGTGCATAGCACCATCCCCAGGAACTACCCAAGGTGACAAGAAAAAAAAAATGCAACTTTGTTTTCTAAGAGAAAGAAAAAATGAACCCAAAGGGAAGGGGAAAGCTCAGTTAAATAGAAATATTAAATTTCTGACAGAAGAGAGAGGTCTGTTATCACGCTGAGTTTCAATAAAAGTGTGTTGTTTTTTTTTTAATCACTTGGGTAGAATTAACTTCTTTTTTCTCAGCAAAATTTCACAGCTTTAATTGTGATGGAATGTGTAGTAAGCTGTTTGAAGAGGGAAACCAATTGGTTTCCACTGAGTGTTTACCAAGTGGCAAATGTTGAAAAGTGCTTTTAAAAGGAAGTCCTCCTGCCTGGGGTGTTAGGCCCTCACTTTCCCTAAGGACCGTCTCCATCTCAAAGATGCTGGTCCTGTTACATAACCTATGGCCATTTCTCACTCACTACCCCCGATCCTGCCTTTTAAAGGAAGTGGACATGGAAAGAAGCTCCTAGAACAGCAAGATTGATTAGGAAAAGAAGCCAAGTAGAAATCTCCACCTCCCGTTTGACATATATCTCCCTGGACTAGAACACGGTCCTGATGTTTCATTTTTGATTTGCAGTAGCCTGGGATTAGTGATAGTTTAGATGTGACAGGGAAGGAGGAGACTTTTCTAAAAATATGGGGACAGTGACATGGGTTCATGCCTGCGTTCCCTGAATATCTCCTTCCTTCATCCAAGTTCCTAAAAACGAAACCCACTTCTAGCGATTATATTACTGGGTTGATGTAATTCCCACCATTCTGAAGTTAAAAATTGCTTAACTGAGCACTGGAAAGAGTAAAAAAAAAGAAAAAAAAGACGTGAATGACAGGCACTCTCACTCCCACTCTGTCTCCCCGCTCTGTGCCCTGGTCACACATAGCGCCAGACAGAGACACCGCGACGAGTCCATCTTTCAGACGAACGAACCGTGAAGCTTGATTAAGGGCCAGTGATGAGGTCTCTTGTCCTTGAGGAGGTCCTGGGATAGTGGAAGGAAGACCCCTGAAGAGAGAAGGCGAGGCACTGTCATAAGCAGATCACGAGAGCAAAATGGCTTCTTCAAGCACCAGAGCCCCACAGACCCCAGTGACAGACCCTGGAATGTTCTGTTGATGGTGCTATTCAGAGAAGACGAAGGACCATCACTCCACTTACACACCCGCCCAGCCCGTCCCCTCTGCTCCACAGTCGTTCAGAAAGCTAGGCCCCACGCTGACTGAGTGTCCCGAGCCCAGTGGACCAGGCTGTAACCCCTCTTCACTTTCCGCTGTGTCTGACCACAGGGCTGCTCTTCACCGATCGTGGTGAAGTTCGCGGACACCCAGAAGGACAAGGAGCAGAGGCGCCTCCAGCAGCAGCTGGCGCAGCAGATGCAGCAGCTCAACACTGCCACCTGGGGGAACCTGACGGGTCTGGGCGGCCTCACCCCACAGTACCTGGCGGTAAGTTCCGGGGGATGGGGGCGGGAGGGAACCTGACGGGTCTGGGCGGCCTCACCCCACAGTACCTGGCGGTAAGTTCCGGGGGATGGGAGTGGGGGGACGTGGGGTCCCCAGGGGGAGAGAGCGCCCTGCCCCTGGAGCTCTTCCAGGCTCCTTGTTCCCTCAGTACACCAAAAGCTCAGCCTCGGGACGCTGTGAGTGCCACGAACTTCTTGGCATTGATGCAGAGTTTTTCCAGGTGAAATTGATGAGCACAAGGATGGACTGTTCTGTCTAGTTCGATGGAGGCTGAGCTGAGCTTCACAAGGCTGGGTGTTAACCAGTGTTCCAGCATCAGCTCCTGCATCAGGAGGGATGCGGCACGCTTCCCACACCGTGATTTAAGGTCCCCAGGCAGCCGTGGCCAGCCCGCTCTCTATGCCCAGGGCAGGGTGTTCCTTGGCAGGACGTAAGAGGAAGACCTCGTGGAACCGTCCTTCACTGGGTCTTCCCAGAGGAGGGATGTTGATTCAGTTCAAATGTTTCTTTATCTGTTGGAAACCCGAAACTCAGATCCTGTTTCTGGACAAATAGACCCTGTTCTTTTTAACCATCCCTTACAGTTCATTGTTTCTAAACTTTCACCTCCTTTTTTTTCTCCCCCTTTCTGTTTTTTGGTTTTTTTTTTCCCATTTCACTTTGCCGCTGTCTTTATTAAAATGCCAGAATCAAAATGTAAAACCATTCCCCTGGTAAGATCTAAACAGCATGAGAAGCAAGCCCTAGTGTGAACTTCAAAGCATCTACACGTAGCTTGAGAGTGGTGGAAGGCAGCTCATACTCCTCTAAAGTTTTGCTTATTTTTACTTGAACTAGTGCCGAACCATGCTTCTCTACTCCACTTTTCTGCCAGACTACACATTAATTAATTTTATATTGTGCATTTGGGCCTTTAATTCTAGCCTCTGTCTGGGTATGTGTGTCCTAATTCTGTCCTGACCTTTGAACTGTTGCCCTCAGGATAGTATGACCCATGAGCTGTACTTTGCAGCAGAACCAACACTGTTCTACAAAACAGCCCTCCCTGTAACCGTGAAAGGTGATCCTCCTGCTTCTGCAGGTGAGGGAAAGGAGCGGCTTAAAGAGGTTTTGTTACTTCACCCAAGGTCGTGGCGCTGGTAGTCAGGCAGGATTTCCACCCTCCCTGTGCTCTCTCCATCCAGCCTGGCTGCTTCTCCAAGGAGATGTGACTCACGTTCCCCTTTTATGTTAGTATTTAATTGTTCGGCCGCGTTGGGTCTCAGTCGAGGTTGGTGGGATCTTCATTGTCATCACGCAGTACTTTTCATCACAGTGCACAGGCTTCCCAGTTGCGATGCACGGGCTTAGTTGCCCCATGCAGGTGGGATTGTAGTTTCCAGATCAGGGATCACACCCGAATCTCCTGCATTGCAAGGCAGACTCTCAACCACTGGACCACCAGGGAAGTCCCTGGTAGTCCTCCTTTACCCACCCTCACGCCTGTCGGGGTCTGACGAGCCGTAGCTACTCGTGACACGTCTGCATGTCTTTCAGGAGAAGCATGCCTCTCCTGCCTTCCCCTGAGTCATTGACAGAAGCAGGTAACCAAGTTTGCTGTCACCTTCTAGCCATTTTTCCATCTTATCCACAAGGACCCGGTGTGAAATTTCCTCATGTCTTGCTGAAATAAAATATAAAATAAATTATCTATAATTTATATAGTTATATATCAATTATAAATTTATATATTTTATATAATATATTAAATATGAAATAAAATAGAAAAAATTTTTCTTGCTGAAATAAAAAATAAAAACTAAGATTTCTATCATAGATTGGTGGCAAGCTCACCTTTTCAGAGTTTCCAAGGATCCAGCTTCGTGTTCCACTGTTTCAAGGAACCAGGACCCCTGTGCCTGTACCAGTCTTCTGGCCCCACCCCCAGCACCTGTTTCTTTGTGTTGAGGGTAGATTCTGACTCTGGCTCACCAGGGTGTGATTGTCAGTGGAAAGAATCCTCAGGTTAATGACCCTCCAGGTATTGCACCTTCCTCCAGCAGAAATTATTAATCCCTCAAAGTGTCTTCAAAGTGAATTTAATTTGACTAAGCTTCAATTTTTAAAAAATTGTGCAGGGCTCCATTCTCTCACAACCACAAGAGAATGGGAAACCCGAGAATTCAAACCAAGAGAAGGGATTTCTCTCGGTCAAAACGGATCATCCCTGGCTTCCTCCACTTCCTCAGTCTGCGTGTGAGAGTCTGTGTATGTCTGTGTGTAATACCTAGGTGGTCTGTTACACCAAATCCAGAAGGATGAGTGAAGGGTGTAGACCTTTTTCTGATAAGTGTTCACATTAATCCCCATAGTATCGTTGCAACTAGGACTTGGGTAGAATCAAGTCAGCTGCTGGGTGCGGGTCTGTGAGCCCCACACCGTTGTGGAGCCTCCTCCTCCTAGAGCTGAGGAGACCGACGCTTACCTGCAGGAGCGGCACTCTCCATTAGTTTGTGCAGAGCTCCAGCTGAATGATGAGAGCCTATTTTGTGAATAGTGAATTCTCAGCTCACAGAACCATGGCAGTTTTTTAATAATAGATGTGGTGAATCTATGCTCTTGACATCCATGGACTTCTGAGTATAGGAGACAGCTCCACGCTTGCTCCAGGGTACAGACTGTGGCTGTACTGATCTACCAGAAGGAGGCTTATCAGTAAGTCTAGTCACACACTTAGGACAGCACCTAAGTGAAAGTCGCTCAGTCATGTCTGACTCTTTGCGACCCCGTGGACTGTAGCCTGCCAGGCTCCTCTGTTCATGGGATTCTCCAGGCAAGAATACTGGAGTGGGTTGATATTTCCTTCTCCAGGGGATCTTCCCAACCCAAGGATCAAATCCGGTTTTCCCGCATTACAGTCAGGTCTTTAACCCTCCGAGCCACCAGGGGAACCCTAAGTTAACCTGTTATTCAGCTTATTTGAACAAATAAAGGAGTGCTTCCAAATGGTAATCACATGCCTTACCTTGTGCTGCCCATTGCTTCTCTGTGTGGGATAAACATACTTCTGGAAGCTCCAGAGACAAAATGCACAGACCTTTTCACAGCTGTCTTCATTTCTCTTTAGAAGATGCTGATATATTTATAATAATAGCATCAATGTATATAGTACCAGATAGTTCTAAGTTTTGACAAATAGTGTGTTCCTCTGTGCCCACGAAGACCACCTTGAAATGGTTGACCGTTGTCTTTATCCTATAGTTATGACTGCAGCTGTGGAGCTGTGAATAGACACATTTATCTCTGTAGGTATCTCAGCGGCTTCTCTGTTAGTCCAGGGGTCAGCGAATCTGTGCGTTCCTAATGAAGGTTGTAGGACAGGCAGCTGTGACAGGAAGCGGAGGAGAGCCAGGGTGGGACCCTGGTTGACAGAGATGAGTTACGAGAACTACTAAGCTCCAGAGAGAGAGCATTAGTCACGCCATGTTGGTTTCCATAGATTTAACACCTGGTTGTTAAAAATTGTAAATTGATGAATTGTTTAAGGCAGTGACGTTATTGAGTCTCCCCGGTGTCTGTGTTTCTTAATAGAGATTAGACATTAATGTGGATTTATGGCTCCAACGCTGGGAACCTTTAGCCATTAAGAGGCAGCAGTAGCTGACTATGTGAATGTAAAGGGAACTGGATTTGTCCCTGTGGACGTGGGAAGTTCCTTTGTCCTCAACTGCATTTCTTTTTGACAGCGCATTTCTCTGTTTTTGGTGTTTTTGGTTGTTTTTTTTTTTCAGCTTCTGCAGCAGGCCACCTCCTCCAGCAACCTGGGTGCATTCAGTGGCATTCAGCAGATGGCGGGTAAGTCATGAGGCCCGCCTGGCCTTTGGACCGTGCTGTTTTCTGAATTTGGGATGGGTTCAGAGGGCGAAGAAGACAGTAGGGGAAAGAACCACATACCTGTCCTGTTGGCTTAGGTGTTAAACATTAGAGTAAGCTGCTCAGAAGTTGCTTTTCTATCTCTGGCATCTCCCTTTATATAACGGGAAAATTGGGGGCTGATAATTCCTGCACAGTACCCTCCAGAAAGTGGAAAGTGTTAGTTGCTCAGTTGCGTCTGTTTGCTACCCCATGGACTGTAGCCCCCCAGGCACCTCTGTCCATGGGGTTCTCCAGGCAAGAATACTGGAGTGGGTTGCCATTTCCTCCTCCAGGGGATCTTCCCAACCGAGGGATCGAACCCAGGTCTCCCACATTGCAGGCAGATTCTTTTACCCTCCAGAGTTGTGTTTTGTTTTTTTTTTTTTAATGGATTTGAATGCTGGGAGGTGGGGAGGGGGGAGGGGGGCAGATTTCCAGCAAGAGTCATGTATCCAGCGCAGCCACCATGATTGACATCCCTCTAAAATTTTAATAACAGGCAGTCAATAAAAATGTTTTGTCCTCCATAATGAAAGCCAGGCTTGCAGACCTATCTGTGACTGATACCATTTCAGTCCCTTGATAACCACAATTAACAGGAGTCCCTTTTTTTTTTTTTTTTAATTTAAAAGAATCCCAGTTGACAGAATTGTGCATCAGAAGCTTTTATGGGAAAGTGGAAATCTTCATTGTCGGGAAAAAAAAAATCACAGTGGGACTGAATGTGAAAGTCAGCCTTTCCTTTTGATAATGAGCTGTGTTGGTAGTGACCTAGGGGCAGTGATTAGAGAAAGGTGGGTCCCGCTGAGTCACCTTCCAGGCTGATACCCTGACCCACGCAGTGAATCAGGACATAGGGGCCAGTAACCTGCCGCGAGGAACAGCCAGGAAGCTTCCTCCTCAGTTCCAAAAACATCCAGGAGAGTGGGCTTGGAGAGCAGATTGTTGGCATATTAGAGGCAAGCACAGTTTGCTTCCGTCAGTGACACCCTGAGTCAATGAGGTGAACCCAGGATATGCAAAGACTAAACCTGATTTCTTTATCTGTCACTGTGAAAACTCCTTTTTGCTCTTTTTCTCCTGAATACATAGCCTTGTATTGTTATTTTCCTCTCCTTGTTTCACTTTGAATGGATCTGGAGAGACATGGCGTGAGCACACACAGACCTGCATCCTGTGGCGGCCAGCCCCACCTTCCGTGGTGGCCCCCGGGGCTAAACTGTGACCCGTCTGACGGGATGGACTGGCCTGCAATAAGAACAATGCTCAGTTACTGGTGGCCCTTGAAATCTGCGGGCACTGCCCACCTATTCTGTTATAATACAGCTTTGGGATTATTAGAAAAAATAGATGTTAAAATAATAAGTAGTGAAATCATTCGGCAGAATGTTAATGAACACAGTTAAGAAAGCTGGCCTCGGAGCTAAGCATCTCCTAGAATGGTTGATTTATTTTTAGTTCTGTGAAGGGGGCTGGAGAGACAGAACTTAAATATTCAGGGAGTTTTCTATGTTTTTAAAAAAGAGAAAACCTCCGGATTGCACACTCTGAAAGAAATGTCAAGATGCGTTGTGTTTTCCAGCAAGGCAGGATTTTTCTTCTAATCAGTCGGAACACCCCGCCCCCAAATTCATAGTTAGAGTCTTCCCTCAGAGGAAGCCTGAGGCTCTCCCATTGCCGTGGTTAAATTATGCAGAGAAGGTCACGGGTCCCGAGGCTGCTGCCGGGCGTGTCTTCCCGGGTGGACAGGGCGCCCTGTCAGTCTCCATTAGGCTCTGAACCCACGGCTCAGCAGCTCAGGTCAGGATGTTGTTGGCATCTGTGCACCGCGCACGCATATATCAATGGAGGGTATCTGGGAGTCACCTTAGAAGGTGTGTGGAGCAGATGGCTAATTTAAAGTCAGTCTGTAAATGCGCTCGGCCTTCCAAAATACCCCTTTCTCAAGCCTTCAGTGTGAAATTCAGTACCAAGGCTGCCCAGGTTGTGCAGTCAAAGGCCGGTTGTCCTGTTTTCTGCCGTCACTTTGAGTAGTGAGGACCGAGGATGGAGTGTCATGGTTCTTCTGCTTCGCCATTTCTGTAACGAGTGCCCTTCATTCCATGGAAAATCAGGAAGCATTATGGTATTTTTTTTTTCAACCAAGTTCTGTGGCCCCAGGCTCTTTCATCATCTCCCAAAAGTAGGGCTTTTCTCACCATCAGTCACCTAAACCCATCCTGGAAAGTGGAGGGGTCATAGGGGTCCCTTCGTGGAAGAAGTTTCCCCCACGCACTGAATTGTGGGAGGGGGCTCCCTCTTCCCCGTTTCCCTAAAACCTTTACTTCCTTCCCCTCCTCCCTCACCTGTGAATTCTCCTGAATCTTCGGCGCTCTGAGAGGGTGTGACCTCCTCTAAGTGGCATTCGTGGACTATTTTGGGGCTGCTGACAAGTGAGCAAATTTATAAATTGGCAGGTGCAAATTTACATTCTGCTTACAGTCCCAATGAAACTTAAGTGAAATGCCTAGTTTTTGAATTAAGAAATTTGACTTTAGCTGGACCTCTAAGCCACAAACCGTTCCATAAACTAACGGCAGTATCTTTAAGAATGACTTGTAAAAAAAAAAAAAAAAAGATGAAAAACAAAACAAAAATAGAAGAATGAGTTGTGGAAGGTGTGGGGTCAGTGTGGGGTCAGCGAGTGGGTCCAGTGTCCTGCATGTGACACTTGAGCGTGATACTGACATACACGGGGGCAAGCAACAAGAAGAAACCAAGGGCTGTCTCATCCCAGACCCCTCCTGGGGTCGCAGCGCCTGTAAGCGAGTGAGGCTGCGGAGGGGCGAGAGCAGTGCTTAGTCGCTTCAGCCGTGTCCAACTCTTTTGCAACCCCATGGACTGTAGCCCGCCAGGCTCCTCTGTCCATGGGATTCTCCAGGCAAGAATACTGGAGTGGGTTGCCATTCCCTTCTCCAGGGGAATCTTCCCGACCCAGGGATCAAACTTGAATCTCTTATGTCTCCTGCATCAGTAGGTGGGTTCTTTTTCATGTCCTCCGGGGCCAGAGAGCCGACTTCACGTGGGAGACTTGAGTACTGCAGCCGAGAATACCATCCACAGACAGTGAACATCATCTCAGAAAGCAGTGACACTATATTGTCAACAGCTCTGAAAACAGAATAGTCTGTCCAACAGTAAACTGAGGTGTCTCACCACAGTCTAAAATGTCTCATCTGAATGAGTAAACATTTTCTGGTTGAGGAGAAAATAAAAGAAAGTCAGAAAAGAAAAAAAAAAAAGAACAGAAAAACAAAACAAAAATTAGGTGACGTTTCTAAAGTAGTTGCATCGATAAAATCAAATGAGACATCAACTATATACTTCTTTGTTCTAAAAAAAAATTTTTTTTTCCTTTCAAATTAAAAGTAACTTCAGAAGTGTTTTATGATTTTATGAAAGGGAACCTTTCCTAAATCTGAAATTTAAAAAGCAGAGAATATAACAGTAAGGCTGAAATCTTTATAAGCTGACTGCTTTTATGTGCATCCTTTTTATTTTTTGTGCATCCTTCAAGTTGATTGATTTTACTTTCCTTCTTATCACTTGTGATAAAAATTTGTCCATTTCCCACTCAAACTGTGGTACTTTTCCCGTGAGTTTCTGAAATCTCCATAACTTAGGGTCTGAGTTCAGGCCAAAAGCCTGGATTTTCCCAGAAGAAGAAAGAATAAGGGAAAACCGGTTTTTTGGTCTTTCATTTCTTTATAACAACGATCATCTGAAAAAGGCACCATGTTAGAAAAATGAGGGTAGTGTTACACCGGTGTTTTTCACAGAGTACCCTGAAATAATCCTGGAGTGCATCCTAACACGTCACAGCACACCAAGGAGAAAACCACCACCTGTTAGCACCTAACAGTCGGAAAAACCAAGGTACAAACAGGACCAGGCAGTGGTGTCACGTGCATTAGGGTACCGCACTCCCACATACTGCAGCAGCTTTATGACACAGGGACTCTCAGCATCCCGTCCTACAGGGGGGGGCCACTGAGGGTGAGAGAAGTTAATGAACTATTGCCCAGAGTCACGAAGGTAAGAACTGGCGGATCCACATTTCAAACTGGCCTGAGCTCCCTGTCGCTACCCACCCCCCCTACCCCCCGTCCCCGGCTGTCACTCTGCACTGCCCGTCCACAAATCGAGGTATGTTATCACTCAGACGAGTGAAGAGACCAGCTCCGAAGCAAATCTGAGCCATCAGTAAATGCACGAGAACCCCAAAACTGCTCCAAGAGAAGCGATCCTGTGTCGGCCGCAGGAAAACCTCCTCCTCTCATTCTGGACGGCATCTCAAATTTAGTAGGGGGTGGTTTTCTGCTAGGGGAAGTATTTTTCTAGGGTGGGGGGGCTTGTTAGTAAGAAATAACAGAGGTTATGAAGCGGTGGCCAAAGAAGAGGATCTGATGATAGACAAAGGGAAAACTGCTTCACTTGACTTCCGACGTTCAGAAGTGGGTAGTAATTCGCCTTCAGAATCTCTGGCCTGAGTTTCCAAAGTCAGAGGGAAATCATAGCGGGCAAGTGTCTGCCTGAAAGAACCACGCAGAGACTGCTGTACTGGTCAGAGATCCAGCTCAGAGCGAAGACAGGCCCAGCGTATCTGTGATGAGCAGAGAAGAGGGAAGACTTTGGCCAAAATTGGACCTTGTGTTGGGGACACACTTGGGAAGTCTGCAGAGTGGACCCACAAAAGGCCCCAGGTTCTCCCCAGAGCCCAGCCTCCCCTCCTCCACACCCTGCACTCCGTGCTAATAGTCCTTAGGAGAATGCGCCATAACCACCCATCTGTCACTTTTCTAACAGACCTGATTGGCAAGCGCTGGTAACAACTGACATCTGTTCTCGCTTATTGAAATGCAGATTTATGGTAATTGCTCTGAACAATAAGACACAGAATTACCTAAGGTGAACATTCAATTAAATTTTCATGCCCTTCTCCTTATAATTTTTTTTAAAAAACCTTCAGTTTCAAGTAGGCACTGTGTGCATCTCTTCGGTACATACTTATCTCGTTTGGAGAAGGGTTGTCTTTTCCAGAGTAATGAGGGAAAAGTTGAACCCCTGTATGCCCAACTTTTTTTGTTGTTTTTTTTTCTGGCCATTTTGATCTTGGCACATTGTTGGATTTCCTAAAACTCATCTCAATGTTTTGCATTTCTCGTCGCTCAGATTATTTGCCCCTGGTTTGAGGGATGCCCACCCGAGTAGAGCACTTTGTGAGGTTAAAAGGGGGTGGTTCTCTTCTCGAGGAAGAACTGTTTACCAATCAGAACCAGCATCGCCTCCCCTACCACCCCGCACCCCGGCCACCCCTCCCACATCCGGTGCCCTTTGAGGATTTTTGTGTGGGGGAGCTGAGATGAGACAGGCCCCAGGGGGTGGAGAAAGGAGCTGAGAAGGACAGGACAGGGTGTGCTTACACACACAAAAAAAAAAACGATGGAGAAAGAACCAGACTTGTGAGTTCAACGTCAGCAGAAGCAACACCCCCTTTCAGACAGCTGGAGCTGGGATGGGGTGGCCAGGACCGACTGACTGTCAGGGGATGAGCCTGCGGCAGCTGGAGGTCTAGAAAGATGCTGGTACCAGGAAGTCTGTGCCGTCCACCAGGCAGAGGACGGAGCTCGGGGTGTGTCCGCTCAGAGCCTCCTGAGCTGCCTTCCTAGCTGGGGTCCAACGCCTTTCCCAGCAGCAGCAGGGGGGCCCCCAAGCCCCGCCCTGAGCTGGAGGGGAGGGCAGAGGTCCACCCTGCAGGTGAGACCCTCTGGTTGCGGGAGCACCGGGGGCAAGCGGAGCCAAAGCGTCCGTCCCCGGGGCCCTGCATGTCTGCTGTGAAAACACCGGGGTCCTGCCCCGCAGGTGTCCAGGGCCCTCGCACCCCGCACGTGGCCCTGCGACGTGCCGATGCCAGCCGTGCTCAGAAGGCCCCGGGCGTGGGGCCGGGGTGTCCTCGCCAGGAGGCTTTCTTGCTGTAGGGCTCGCCTGGTGAACAGACCTCAGGCCTCCTCCTGGCCAGACAGAGAGACACTGTGCAGGGAACAGGTGCCTCTGTTGCCCCCCAGGAGGTGGACAGGAGCGCCCATCACACCCCCGTACCCGCTGCCCCCAGGGTCCTACGTCCGGCCTCGGCGTGGCCCCTGCCCTGTGTTAGCCGGCAGCTCCGATGTCCTCGGAGAATCTCTGGCAGGTTTTGTTTTCTTTCGTTGGCTTGACTGTAAGTACATCATGGTTTGGGGCGGGGGCAGGGGGCGGGAGCTGTGTTCTTTGATCCATTCTCTGGCTGTCACTCCTGAGCTCGGATTTCTCGATTCCTCATGTGGTGCCCCAGAACCTGGCCTTCACAGTGAAGGCAGGCAGCCCCTCGGGGTGAGGGGGGAAGGGGACACTCGGGGGAGGACGGGGACACAGAACCCGAGGGTGGTCGGCTGGACTCCAGGGCAACGCCGAGCGTTGGTGGGTGAGAGAAAGAAAACGCATAGGCCTAATAAATATTTGCATAATGGATTAATTAACGATTGTGGAAAATAGTCAATATTTGAAGCTGTTGTAAATACTGCGGAATGAAGAACAAACAAGAAAAACCTCGTTTGGGTCTGTAGACAATGCTCTTCATAGCAGCGTGGGACCATTTCATGCTGTTGGTTGCCCTGTTCATGCATCTTCCATGGCCCCATGTATCACCTACTGTGAACGAACGTGGCTGTGTGTTTGTGTAGGTGGACTTAAAAGCAAATAAGACAACAGCTTTGTCCTCAAGGAGCTTAGTGTCTAGTCGTGGAGGTCAGCAGTCCGTGTGTATGATGGGGAAGCAGGCTGCGATGAATGCGCTGGGAGTTAGATAGCGAGCCAGAGGATGACAGGTAACGAGTAAAGGTGCCATTGGACACAGCCCGTCAGTCACCCTCCGAGGGGAAGAGCCTCAAGGTCGGGAGGGCCCACAAGGCTCTGACCCGGAGGAGCAGGCTGAGCTCCTCCACTCCAGCACCGGGCCGCGTTCCGCAGCCCGGGTCAGAGCAGGTGTCCTGGGAAACGCAGGCTGAGGAGGGTGCTCGGCTGATGGTTCACCGGGGCCAGATGTGCAGGCTCTAACATCGGTGCTAAACCCTTCTCTTGTGCACATAGCCGTCTGTCCGTGCCAGTGTCTGGTCCTCTGTGTTACATCCTGAGCACGTTAGAGGGGTCACGGGGACCAGGCGGGTCCGTGCTGGAGCGCCTCATCCCACCCCACAGCATCCCCCCAAGCCCAGCCCCTGGGCACACAGGCCAGAGTGTGGTCAGCTGCTTTCAGGAACCTCGCCCGAGGGACCCCAGGGACGTCTGTGCTCAGTTCATGTTGCCCCAGCTCCGTTTTCCTCAGGCAAACCTGAAAAAATAGGCCCTGCGCTTCCCCTTCACAGGGTCCCGTCAGTACCACCCTGCGTGACCCCGACCCGAGGTGGGGACAGAGCTTTGTCCCCAGTGGCACGTGCGCGATGGAGCAGGGTTGCCACGGTCGCAGGATGCCGCCAGTGCCTTGTCCTGTTCCCAGCATCCCCAGGACCTATGTGGTGCTGGCTTTCTCCCTAAGCCACCAGGGCTGGGTGCCTCCTGGGTATCACTGTGGGCAAAAATGAGAATCCAGATCGCAGCATAGACCTGGGGAACTGTTTTCTGAGTAGAGTCAAGTCCTCACAAAGGCACCTGGTGTGGAGGAGCAGGGTAGGTAAGTGTGCCTGGCATCCGGGCTCTGAGTCCAGCTGAGGCCGCCAGCTCCACATGGTGGCTAAGGGCTTCCAGCAGGCGTGCTCCTAGAATATTCTCTTGCCCCTCCTCCATCTCCCATGCCCCAGCCCTGTCATCAGGCCACTGTCTCAAAAGCGGGTTGGATTCACTATGTAGACATGTTCAAATGCCTGGATTTCAGACAAGAGAAAGTGGTAAAATTAGGCTAACTTCATTATCTTTCTCTGCAAAATTCCACTGTATGAGGAAAGAATCGCTGTTGCCTGCTTCTCAAACATACACGGGGGTGAAATGACTCATGGAAAAAGACTTAGTGCGGAGAACCTTTGAACCTCTGGGGACTCAGGCATGGAGTCTGTGCCTGGCCAGTCCCCCAGACCTGTCAGCAGAGTTTTGTTTGTCTCCACTCTTCTTTTCTTGATTTTCATTAGCCCACAATTCATTCTAGTTAAAAGTAATACCTCTTTGAGATACAAATATACTTAAAATGCAAATAAAAATATTACGGCACTGCCTTTTTTTCTTCATTCTTTTCCTCCGCAAATATTATGTGAGTTCCTGAAGAAACCCAGAGAGAGAAGTTTGGGGGTCTTTAATTATAGTGACAGTCACAGTAGTTGCTGATAGTTATCGGGGCTTATGTCATGCCAGTTACTGTGCTGAGTCACTTTTCATTCACTGAGTTATTTAATCTGCACAACAACGACATGAGGGAGGAGGTAAGTAACTGTTACTATTCAGGAAGGAAGGATCAGAGAGGTTAAGAAATCTGTCCAGAGTCACACAGCTTACAGATCCAGGAAGACAGATCAGTGTAACTTCAGAGCAATAAAGCATCATTTCTTCTGTCACACCCCAAATGCACATCTGTCCAGTTTAAGGATGGAGAGTGTACCCTGAAGCCCTCCCTCCAGATGACAGCCTCAAGGTGGAAGGCCCTGCTGTGTGTGGTCCACAAGGAAACCTCTGGCCTGTCTATTGTGCTGAGCTGCGCTGCCCAGGAGGGGGCAGTTGGGCAGAGGGTGCCGGGCTGGGACGGGACAAGTGGTACCGCATGAGTCCTCGGGGCAGCTGGGTGAGAGTGCCCGCCCCGGGGCCTCTGTGCTCATCACCTGCCCTCTCTTCTGGGAAAGGGGCGAAGTGGGCCTGCTGCTGACGTGCCTTCTCTCTCCCCCCCTGCAGGCATGAATGCTTTACAGTTACAGAACTTGGCCACACTGGCGGCGGCTGCAGCCGCAGCCCAGACCTCGGCCACCACCACCAATGCAAATCCTCTGTCCACCACGAGCAGCGCCCTGGGAGCTCTCACCAGTCCCGGTAAGGGGTCGTCCTGCTGCTGGGAGACAGGATGTGGGGGGGCAGTGCCACGTGCAGGGTGGACACGCCCAGACCCCGCTAGGCATCAGGCTGAGTTACCTCTGTTATGTCTTATTTGTCTTTCTAATGTATCTTTATTGAGACAGAGTTGATTTACAACGTTGTGTTCATTTCTGCAGCACAGCAGAGTAACTCAGTTACACGTATATCGCCATTCTTTTTTATATTCTTCTCCGTTACGGATTATGCCTGGATTTTGAATATATTTCCCTCTGCTGTCCAGTTAGGACCACATTGTTTATCCTTTGTATACAAAACAATTTGCATCTGCTAATTCCAAACTCAGTTTATTCCCCGCCTACTCCCCACCTGGCAGCCACAAGGCTGTTCTCTACATCATGGGTCTGTGTCTGTTTCACGGGTAAGTTCATTTATGCCATAATTTAGATCCCACGTAGAAGTGACACCGTGTGGTATTTGTCTTTGCCTGACTTACTTCCCTTGGTATGATAATCTCTGGCTGCATCTTGTCTGACTGCTACACTTGGTATGACACTCTCTAGGTGACATCACTGCAGACGGCACTCTGTTAAAGGCTGAGTGCCGCTCTGTCGCACGCAGGTACCACACCTTGTTTATCCATCCAGCTGTCAGTCGGCATTTAGGCTGCTTCTGTGTCTTGGCGACCGTGAATGGTGCTGTTGCGAACACAGGTGTGCAGTTACCCTTTAAAGAAACAAAAGTTTGAGCATGTGCATTTTTATCTTCCAAGGATAAGAAGAAAAGCTCTGTGAGGGAATTCTCACACGTTCCTTTTGTTTGAAAATTGTGTCGTCCCTTCCGTCCTGGTGAAGTTGCCCAGTGACGAGGCGCCTCCGTCCCTCAGGAATGCGCTTTTCTCCTGGTTTGGTGGTGGTGGTTTGTTGTTAGCAATTTAAGAATTCCCTGTTAAGTCTCAAAACCCCAAATCATCATCTGTGATGTTTCACACCAGCTACATTCTTTACTTGTGGTTTTCAGCTGGAGGTCCAGAGGGGACCGTCATTCTTTCTCCTCTGTGGTCCCCTTCTGGGCCATGTCATTTAAAGTGAGGTTTTCTTTCCCCCTCGTTAGAAATTCTGTTGCCTTATTCAAAGGCAGATGCTGTTTTCTTTTTCATATGAGCCAGACCAAATGTGGTTGCTTAGACACCAGGATTTGTTTTTTAAAAAGTGTTTTGCTGGCTTGCCTTCCTCTCTGGGTTTTCTGGGCCTTGATGGATGATCTCACCTTCTGCTCTGGTACGCGGAGGCGCTGGCCTGGACAACCTCCAGGCCCCTTTCTAACTAACAACCCCACAGCCCTCAATCGGCCACTCCCAAAAGATGAGCCAGCTGGCCCCCACACTTCTCTGTAACAATGCAGGGTTTTCTTCTAGAAAAATAGAGAAGGGACGCTGCAGTGCCCGGCAGACCAGCCTTCTGCAGGCAGCCGGCTTCAGGGAGCAGAGAAGCCCCACAGCCCTTGATTTGTTCACTGAACACCACATTTCTAACTCATTTCCCTCTGAGTTCAGTGTTGAGGGAGAGACTGAAGAGATGTTGAGGAAAGGCTGGACAATGTATCCATCACCTCATCTCAGGGCAACAGCATGTGGGACGTTGCCTTCATTCTTGAAATGTCTTCAAAAACATACTGTGACAACATGTGGGCCTTATTCCACACAACAGATAATACTCCTGAAAAATCAACTTTGTAATTTTTTCAAGAGATTAAGTTATAACTAATGCAAAACATAAGCTGGTTATTTAACTATATCCTTTTAAAGAAATATGCATTTTTGACATGGTTTATTTCCCCTTATGAAAATAATAGTGATTTTTTTTTTTCTTAAAAACACAGGTATTTGACCTCACTAGTGCCCCTGTTTTAGAAATTAGACTGAAGAATGTTTTGCTAGAAAAATAAGAATTAACCATCTTCGGACTGCCCCGACAGTCCAGTGGTTAAGACTCTGTGCTTCCACTGCAAGGGGTGCAGGTTTGACCCCTGGTTGGGGAACTAAGACCTTGCATGCTGTGAGGCCAAAAAAAAAAAAGAAACATCTCCCTGTGAGGACTATGAAAAGATTACATTAAAACAGCAGTCCGAACCTGAAACTAGTACAATATTGTAAATCAACTATAAAAATTTTTACTCCAATACAATTCTTTTTTAAAAAAACACTGTATATGGTTTTATATACATCAACCATCTGTCAGCATTTTTAACTGATATTTTTAACTGTATTTTGTTTGGAGTGAAAAAACTAAACACTTCTCAAGATCTGAGGGGTGTTTTATTTGTTTATATAAAAAGGAAAAGGATTAGGTCTTTTTTTTTTTTTAAGAGAAAACACTATTAACTTTAATTTGGCAGAAGCAGATGATTGTAATTTTTCCAACCATGGCTGACTCCCTTTTATTGCAAGTAAAAAGAAGAAACTGACCACATCATTGGTAACAAGGTAGGGAAAAAAGAACATTCTTTTTCCCATAAAGACTCTTCCTTACATGGCAAGGAGGCAGTCTGCTATTTGGTTCACCAGGCTTTAAAGAGTTTAACATTGTCACTACATTGAAATTATTCTTCTGTTCCAGAAGTGACCATTATCATACATGGACATTTTGGTGAAGGGTATGTGGCCTGTTGGTTGCTTGGGAAGCTTCATTCAACTTTATGAAAATATATTCTTCCATTGTGACAGCTGGGTGGGAATGTGCCTTGGTTCGAGGGAATCGGAATGAATATTCCAACATTTTGTTCTCCGTTAGTAGAAGGCTCATGGGTTTAAGAAGCCAAGTGCAGAAGCGTCTGTCAGCTGATCAGTGTTGATTTGCAATTGATAGCTAGTGCTTTCCAGTGACTGTGTAGCCTTAGGCGCTGGCCTGGGTGCTGGGGACACAGCCAGGAGCAGGACACACTCCCGCCCCCAGGGGTCTCCTGTCTGTCAGGGGAATTCGGACAGGGAGCAGTCGCAGGTGCCATGTGTAAGCCAGGCAAGCGCTGCGAAGAGGGCCCAGGCAGAATAAGATGGAGAGAGGAGATGGAAGGAGGCTTTCCCCTTCTGAAAGGGGAAACCTGAGGAAGGTGATGGGAGCATGGAGATGATACGGGGCAAGGGTGTCCAGGCAGAGGACCGAGCAGGAACAGGCTGCAAGGAGGAGGAGGACTGGCATGACACCATCCTGAGGAAGGGTGAGAGGTGAGGTCCATGTCTGCGGATCCACATTCATTCCATCCAGTACAGTCAGGATTGCAAGGACGTAGTGACCTTCTTAAAATGCAGAGCACTCGAACAGCCTAGGAAGGTAGCCAGAGTATGTAAGGAAACTTGAAACATACTTGGCCATTTTCAGCTTTTTCCTGAGACCTGAATGAAAGGGAAAATGTGTCCTGAGATGTATTTTCTTTCTTCCAACCCCAGTCAGGCATCCTTCCCTTTACTCTTCACATGGCGTCCAGCCCGACCAGAAATCCTGCCAACCACTGTGTCAGGGAGACGGGTTTCTCTCTTCTGTGTTGATCAGAGCTTTGCATAAGAGCCGAAAATGTTTCATTAGAGTCCTGAAATGTGGGCAGCAGAAGCAATTTAAATCTACATTTGGATTATTTATCTTAAGTGTAACTAAAAAAATCTGGTGTTTAAGTGAAAGTAAATTATTTGTCTAATTTCCATCAGGAACTCTTCAAAGGCACAGAAAATGTGGTTAGTGACAATTCATGACTCTCTGCTTCATCAGAGCAATTTTCCAGGAAATAAAAGGGATGGGATGCTAGTCCCAAGGCCAGTGTGTTTTTTTGTTGTTGTTTTTTAATAATTAAAAAAAAAAAAAAAACACGGCTTCCTGTTGAACCACGCATAACCAGCCAGTCCATTCACACTGAAAGCAGAGCTTCACCATACCAGCCTGCCCAGGTCTTGGTTTACCTGTTCTTGAGACACCTCTTGTGCTTCAGGCAAATCCATCCCGGAAGTACAGGGTCAGCTCAGCACCTCCAAACTTTTCCTTAAAAAAGGAAATTTACAATTGTAAATTTATCATTTCAGTTCTGCACACCCAGGAACAAACTCCCTACAGCATTATTATAAATGATTTTAAACAGTCTATGCTTTTAAAAATGAAAGATTAAGCATTATTTTTTGTAAAAAAAGAAAAGAAAAATCCCCTTAGGCAATAAATACAGGTTTGTCTCCTGGCCTTGCAATAAACATGAAAATAGTCTCAGTTGCCCATGGTTAGAATAAGTGTTTCATGCAATTATCAGATGGTAAGGAATAAAATTAGAAATTAAATCAGGAAAGAATAAAAGCCAGGTAAATGCATTATTATGCCTTTTATGAGTTTCTTATGGGTCTTTTGAAGCCTGATTTAATCGTGTTTCTTGTCTTTTATTTTGGTATGATAATTTTTCCTTTGTTTACTACAGTCTCCTATTTAGTTAATTAATTCTTGGGTCATTTCTTCTTACCCCATTTTGTGTTAAGGCGTGAGTCTCGGTGTTGGTAGAAAGGGATAAATTGTCTGTAAGGCGTGTGGCTGGGTCTTAAAGAAAGATATGAGTATCTGCCCAGCTTGTGGATCTGTTGCCTTGGCCTGGCGGTTTTGAGCGTGTGGGCATAAGCGTCAGGATTACCACTCACAAGCACTTCTCTGGCGTTTTCTGTCCAAAACGTAACATTGTGTCTGTGTACATTATCCTGCTGACCTTCTATTTTCTCTCTTTCTTTTAAAAAAACGTTTTAAAATTCTCTAATGCTTCTGTAAGTGCACTCAGTCAGGGGCACACTGCAGGATAACAGATCATTTCTTTCAAGGGTGAAGGGCGTTTTAAAATACCTGGGCACATTCTCCCATTCCCACACCTGGCTTTCCCCTGAGTTTTTGCTGTGAAGTCTAGGCAGCGTCTTTTCCCACCTTGGAGATGTGGCCTCCTCCTCGGAGGCCGCAACAGACCCCACGTCCCAGGGACAGGGGGAC